TTCCCCCCCCCCCGGGGGGTAAAACGTGCCAAAGCTAGCAACTTGACTGTCTTGTTTTTGAAACTGTAAGTTTTTCGAAAACAATGACATGGCGATAATTTCCCTGCCCGAACTTTTCTAAACCACAAATCCAAAATGATCGGTTATTGTTGCGTATATAAATTCTTCCGACGTAGTGTGGACGGGACCTGTAAGAAGAAATATCCACCATGTCGCGAACATATGGGCAAAGAGTTTTTTTTTTTTTTCGACCTCGAAATTACTTGCAGACAGATGGGAGCAGAATTAATTCACACCTGCTCATAACAAGCGACCACCTAATCAACGAGAGTTATCGTGACACCACTTCTTCACTTTTAGTTCACAGCGATGCCATACTCTGTTCGCTTTCATGTACTCGACTAAGACTTACTGCGGGAGACCGCCATCGCAATGTTATCTTTCAAGAAGAGAACGTGACCAGGCTTTTCTTTAAACTTTGCTTTGCAGTGGTTTGCGAAAAACTTCCTTTCAGCATTTCAGTTATTATCACCCAGCTGCCAGATGTGCACCAGATTACACAATGTCGTCTAAGCGTTAAGGGATGTATCAGACCTTTCCTATTTTGGTTTTGTTATTTGTTTTCCTTTACAGCGTTTTGGAACTTCCTCGAGTACTGGATGCCTTCCCACTGTGTTGCTACAGGAAAGAGGATTAATTTTATAACGTCAAGCATTATGATTTGTGTGTAAAAAAAATGAAGTTGTACGTGCTGGTTTGCCCTGTGGATGTCGCTTAAGAACTTGAGTCATATATTGCTTCATATGACGCATAAGTCTTATTATTATGATTTTTTTATTACTACTCAACAATTGAAGACGCGTACAAATGTTCTTTACTTGTCTACCGTGACACAAACAAACCCCCATGTTCTTCCGTTTCATTGATGAATCAGTGATTAAAGTGGGAGGCGTTGAAATGTTAGAAGGGTCCGTCTTTAAGGAAATAAAGAAACAGGAACACAATCTCCGATGTCAAGGCCCTGAGACACCAAAAGAAAAAAGTATAAATTGCTCTGTGCTACTTGCTTGATATCAGAAAAAGAAGTCACCTGGACCTCACTTTCGAATTGAGAAGCTTATCAAGGTGAGTTGGCGACAGTCAAAGCTATGGATGTAATTCTCATATTCTGCCTTTAAGGTCTGTTAATGTAGGCAAAGGTTAAATGCAAATACGCGGTCAAAACGTCAGCAAAAAGCAGGTTTAGCTTTTGTTTAAAAGGTTGCACTTTGAGTCTTGATCTTCACGGCCGAGAATTTTTTTAAGTAAGGTTATGCTACGAAAATTTAAAGGCCTTGGGTACTTACCATTTACATGGGAAAACCGGAAATTCTAGTTGGAAAATCAAATGGTTCACGCCATTCCGTTTGGGAAGCTTCTGAAAATATGGGCTGTGGTTTGAGGTGATGCTATTTTTCTGCTCTTTTAAGTCTCTCTAGCTGATATGGATATACTTTATAGCGATTCCCTCTCCCGCAACGTGGCATTCAATTATTTAATGTTTATGCCTGAAATTTCCAACCGGATGGTTTTTGTAAATGGTAAGCACCCCTTGATTCAGGACAGTACTTGTTCTAATAATTTTGCATTGCCCAAGCACTAAATTATCACACCTCAATAGCGTCATAAATATAAATTTAATTAAGTTACGGTTCATCCCTAATAGTGAGATCTTTCATGAGATTTCCAGTAGATCCAAATCATGTTCATTCAAGAAACTAGCTAACATGTCGTTATGGATTATGTGTAATTGAAAAAAATTCAGTACCTCCGAAAGCGCACGTTAAAATTTTGGTAATTTAACTTATCTGTCCCAGATGAACTTCATGATTGTAATACGAAAATAATAAAATGGCAGGGGGCATCTCCTTAGCGGTCGTTGAATATTCGTGCTCACATAATAACCCAAGTTATTCTCCCATTTTGATTGGTTCTCGCCTAAGATCTATTAGAGTAAAAAACGCACGATTGACGACATCACTACAAAGTTTTTCCCTCTGTGTTTTAAAATGGCGGCAAGTTTCGAGAGTTTAGATAATATTTTACGTGACTGGGCAAAAGATAAGGTACAACAAAGTCTTATCGGGGCATTGAACAGGTACATGAAGCAGGAAGAAGAAAGATAAAGCCTTTCCTTTTTTAGAAAATGACTCAGGAAAAATACTCGAGCAGTCTCAGTCGGCAGTCGAGCGAGACTAAACCAACTGAACCAAGCACAAAATTGGTCTTGGTAAGCTGAGAAACATTGCTTTATCTCGAATTTAACAAACCCGATAAACAAAATGTTTATGAGATTAATTTATTTAAAAAATTCAATTTTTCTCAGTCTCAAAATAATTGCTGACACACTGATTGATGTCAGGAATTAAACACCAACACATCACTTCTTAAAATCAGTTAAAATAAACACATAACCTTGCTTTCCGATGCGAATGTTCCAGTCCGTTTCGGGGCACAGCAGCGAGCAAAGTATAGCTCACTACAGCTCACGGCCAACTGTATCGCAGCTAAAAGGTGTCTAGATCTCCGACACTATTTCAACCTGATTTAATTGAGAATCACCAACCACAGAGGACAAGAACATCAGTAACACACTCGGTTATCGCCTCGTGTGCCACTTTTTTGTTCTTATCGCATTTTGACGTCACCTGTGATCTATTACTGAACAGACGCACGGCAACATGGAATCTAGTTGCTAATTAGAACACGTCTGTGGGTCAAGTGTGTGGGACACTAGTGTTTACTGACGAAAAAACAAATTGCCAGGCTTAAGGTACAAAGAATATCAAAGAGCAATCGTTTTCAAAGGTTAAAAAATAAATCCCCCGTTAAAAAAAGTGCCCGAAGATCAATATTTTAGCGTTCTGATACAGTTTCTCTTTCTGAATCATACCTAGTTATCTTATTAAAATCGGCCATTTGGCGGTCGTTTCCTAATCCGATTAGTGTAAAACTGCTTTCAGTCATTGAAAATAGATTGAGTTGACATAATGTACTGTTTAGGCTAGTCAATACTTTTAGGGAAACGATGTGCGATAAACAAACGAAATTGGAATCAGTGAGATTCAAAATTAGTTTTGTGCCAAGTAACTACATTTGCTATGAGGAAGTTTGATATCAATGTCTTAAGCGATGAAGTATGCCAGGTCGAATGGGCAAAAATAAATCAATTCTCTGTTCTTGATGTCGAGAAAATCATAAAAACAGGTCAGCCATAAAAAAATTCTTAAAAACGCTTCGTAAAAACACTTCCAGCCATAAAAAAAAAAACCTGACAGATAAACACTATTTTGTTGAAATTGCTTCAAAAGAAAACCAAAATGTGTCACAACGTTATGTTTTGATGCCACGAGGATTTCTCGTTCAATTACTCCTACAACAACTGCATCTGGGGTTTAAATTTGAAATGTGTTTTCAGACCTTTTGAAAGGGGCTCGATAGATAGTTTGAAACGCTCCCCACGCATGCTTGTCGGTTTCATCGCTTTGCCCTGGCCTAGAATGAATTTTGCCCGTGTGGATGCTCAATTTATTTTGATTAATTTATACATGACTTATACAAGACGAACAACAAGCGGCGAACAAAAACAAATCAACAGTTAATTTACATTATCAACCAGCCTCCGTTTGTAAAATCATTTTTCCATATGACATCATTTGAATATTTTCTAAATATCAACTCCTAAGATCAATATGCTTGTTTCGAAATTGTTGTCCTGGAAAGCTTTGATCGGGAACTGTGCTTCATAAAGTTGAACGCAAGCACAAGTTTTGTAACTTAAGATGGTAGACATTTCTGGGGCATTTAACGGAACAGTTCCTTTAAAAGATATTCATTTTAGCTGAAGTCGTGCTGGCTGTGAAACGCAGGGGAACACGGATACATGATGCAATTATTAGCTGCGGTTCCACTAGACCTTTCGCCCACGGGAAAGAAGGACTTTACACAAGGGGAGTCTGTGTTTTGTGTGTGACCTTTATTCCCACAGTGAAAATGCCCACGGGAAATCACTGTGGATACATCAAAGAGAAGAAAAGAGTTGCCCTTGACATTCCCAGAACCAAGTCGTAGGGTTTATCTGTGAATTATCTAACCACAAGAGTAGTTCAACCAATCGGGTGAAAGGAAATGGTAAAAACAGGAAACTGCAGCTCAAGCTGGGTACATTTTTGTGGTGTTGCGCTGAAATTGCACCAAATAACCCGGCAGTTACCATATATTTGAGATCAACAAGTATGGCCAACTTTCGTGGTTAACTGTGATTACTTGATCACTTTCAGTGGTGCATAGTTTTTTTAATTCGTTTTCTTTTTCACAGCAACTTTAGACCAGAAGATGCGAAACGAGATGCGGCGTCACAAAACGGCTATTTATTCCAGCAAGAGAGTTATTAGAAACGTATCCTATTCAATCGTAATCGCAGACGTCTTCTACGCATTCTTCTTAAAACGAAGTTCTAGATCGCTAAATCAACCGGAAAGAACGACTGCTTGCAAACCCTACGTTTCGCGGTTCGCGATTTCCATGATGAATTAAATTTCCGCGGGTAAGTATATGCTGTGTTTACATTTGAGCTTTTACCAAGGTAAACAGTTACTCAGGTCAAGTTACTTAACCTTGGTACATTCGTCCAGTGTTTATACCGGCTCAAATAACTCAAGTTGATCTTTTAACATTCGCGCGCGCTACATTATCAACGTCATGAAATCAAACTTGGACGAGGATCCCACCGCAGTGGAACAGGAGCAAATTGAGATGCCATCATTTTCATTGGCGAGGACCTCATTCCATAATATTGCGCCGAAAATTCAGCTGCTTGATCATACCCGGAGTATGCATCGATACGTTGTATATGCCGCATCCTCCCTGGTGGCAAAATATATCGACAACTGATAATTACACAACATAGCCGGATCGAAGTTTGTCTAGAGAAAGTTGTAAATAATACTGAGAATGAAAAATACAATGCTCTCTTTTACGTGACGGATTGTTCGCTGTAAGAAGATCGATCCAATCTTTCCACGTTATCTGCCATGATCGCCTAGTCAAAACTGGAAAAGAAACGCTTTGTCGACAATCGCGCTGCTCACCGCGGGGAAGTGAAATATTACGCCGCCACAAGCGGATATATCCGTCATCTTGACCTTGGTTACCAACTGTAACCATGCCTGATCACAGGGTAATCACAACTTTTACCTCGGTTAAATTCCTTTTGTCTTTTGCGGCATTTACCAAAGTATCAGATGGCGTTTACACACGGAAAAATGTTTACCTAGGTAAGTAAACTCTGGTACCTCGGTAAACCGTTCAAGTCTAAACACAGCATATTTGGATTATCTGCAGTGTAACCAGAAAATATGACCTTACCGGTCTCAACCCAAGCCAATTACCCATTGGGAACGGTGTGTGTAACCGCAGCTATCGACTCTTTAACGATGGAGTCTTAACATGAATAGGGAGTTCAAGAAAACACGACGGCGACGCTAAGGACAAGGAATCTCGCGGTACTCTTAAGTCATTTACCTTGTCATCACTGTCAAAGCTATCACGAGACTAAATCCGGAAAAGAGCGACAAATTTGAAATGAAATATTAAAAAAGTTAGCCTTTGTGGTTCACTTTCTCTACACAACGCAAAATTTGGTCATATTAGCGGAGCTCCAGCGGCCTGAAGGACCGCAAGGACGGAGCCCCAAACCCATATAGGAAAGAAAAGGAAACCCAGGAAATGATTTTCTCAATGACGGGGGTTGCCCAAGATGGCGGCCATACTCAAGCCAGTATGTTGACAGACACAGGCAACTTTGGTTTATAGCGTACATGTACTTCTTTGATATTGGACATCCATGTTATGGTCAATTGATACCTGTCAAACAAGGTATCGGCTGACCAGGATCACGTGACCATATCGCGGGCTCAAATTTAGAACTCATTGAGGTCGCGTGTTTTATTTGAAGTTGACTGCTGTCCAAGTGCTGGTTTGTCATTGAATCGCGGGCTCATGTCAGGTTAACTTGTTGTAAACAGGGCCGAGTTGTTCGAAAGCCGGTTAACGCTAACAAGATTAAAAGTTAACCAAATAATAAATTATTATTTGTATCAAAATGCTTTTCACTGCTTTTATTTTGTGTATTTTGAGATTGGTTAAACTCAGAACAGAAGGTCAATACAATATACAGAAAACCTCACCACAAAGTTACAAAATTCAAATCAAAATTCTCGCTTAGCCTGGGTTAGCTTAATCGGGCTCTGAAAAACCCGGCCCAGGAGCACCTCTTTTAGACTTGGCTAAATATATAAATTACGTTGTTGCTTTACAGAGTGACGGCAAAGAAAATGTACCGAGATTTATAACGCACGTACACAGCCATTGTCCTGCTCGTTTAATCCTTTGTTTAGCGACTGCCGTCGTGGTTTTCTTAAAATCCCTGATTATGCATAGAGATGCTTTTAAAAAATGTTCACTTCTCAGCTATGAATAATTCAATCCAAAAGCAAACGGTTCTTCTGAACTCGATGATACAGGGGGATACTAAGGGCTATTATTTTGCACTCTGCAAATTGAGCGTATATATAGTCACCAGAGGCAGTTCTGAAAGTTAAAAGCTTCCCTGGAATATAACCCTGCTTTCGCTCGTGGACTTCTTATTTCGGCTAGCCGGGAAACCCAAGTCAAAGCATTTACAAATGGATGACACGCCTAAAGCGGTGCCTCGGGCGTACAGCGTTTTCTAAAGAAACGTATGTAAAGAAAAGTTGGCCCTCCCAACATACCTCGATTAACCGGATAACGCTAACCCGGTCTGCCCGGCAAGTAGTTTATCTGCCGGAATTACTTGTAGACCGGGGGGAATTTGTTCCATTCCTGCAGCTGGTTCTGCTGAAGCAACACCACTTAACCCTCGAACGTACAAGGAAGGGGGGGTGGATGATTTGTTAAAAGACTCTAAGGCGTTTGCCCTTGTAGTGTGATTTCAAGGCTACGTTGATTTCTATTGTTTGTAACTTATCAAGTTTTAACTTTGAAAGAAAAATAATGTTTTGGATGACCAACATCCATGTTCAGTTGCAAATACAAATGAACCGCTAGTCGGTATGATATAAAAGCGAATTTTCATAGAATATATGAATACTAGATATGAAGGTGGATGTTGGATGTTGGTCATCCGAAACATGTTTTACAAATTTAAAACTGCGTGTTTTTCTCTCAAAGTTAGTCTTGTCTGCTACTAGTTCGCAAATTTATCAAGTCTTAAGTTTTTTCTCCCAGTATACAAGAAATTTAAATTAATTATAACATTTGCTCTCGATATGCCAGGTTTCATTCAAAGGTGTACAAACTTACGGTTACTATGGGACGTTTAATGGTCTCTATGATGATTATCGTCGGGATCTTTGCTCCAGGAATGTTGGCCTGCGGCGGCGGTGGTTCCAAAGGCTACGAAGACAGTCGAAAATGTTCCAATTGTCAAAACTGTTGCAATAACGAGTGTGTGTCCAGTGAAATGCAGGTGGAAGAGCAAACAAAAGGTTTTGTTCGTGTTGCTGAGCTGTCCATTGGAGACATCATTCGTGGAGTTTCGGGAGCTGACCGAGACCCTGGCTGGTGCAGAGTGGAAGCCGTGTATCCAACCGCAAACAAAAACAACGTGACGACCTACGACGGTTTCACTGAAGCCCACATGGTTGTCGACAATGGCACTGTTCACCAGTACGGAAGGAAAGGGAAGGCGAAGAAAAGTCGACTCTTCACGCTTGCCACAGAATGCGATGCAGCAGTGAATGCAGCTGGCCAAGTGTTCACACCAATTAGCACGGCTTTCTGTCCCCATGAGCTGAGTTGGAACGATTATCTTACCGTGATTGCCGCTATACGTCGCGTAACCGATCGCACCGGATTCTTCTGGTATATGAGTGATGCCTTCCATGACAACGAAACTGCTCAAGTCCCACTTTGGAAAGACCTGCTACACGAAATGTGCCTTGAGCTCTTGCAGTGCGCACGTGAAGGGCGATGCCAGCAGTTTGAGAATGTGGTGGCCCAGTTCGTGCTAGAACATGTGAATGAAAAGTACGCGGCGATTGTGGAGCACAAGTTCCCTAACTTCGGTGGTGATGTGGAGAATGAAGAAACTGGAACCATAGCAGAGGTCGTTCGTGCGCATAAATAGTTGGGCCCGAATTATAATTAGCTCAGAATCAAGCAAATGAGGCTGTTCTTTGAATTTTGTATACGGCACTTCTAACTAATAGGAGTATTAACGTTAGTTGCTGTATTTGCTTTGTTTTTTCAAGGAGTGAAATTCAAGTTTTTCCTTTGGTACTTTAAAAATGGTGATCAAGGTCTTGGGCTGAGAAGTGTAAACAGTAATTGTACACCAAATATTCTTAATATCGTAAGCCGGGTCAAATTTATCGGGAATTGGTTAAACGTTTCATATCTTAAAAATAAGCAATTAAAAAAAAAAAACTGGCAGCATCGAGTCCGGTTCATGCTGATCACATAACACAATATATCATTTGTTTATTTGTTTCCACTTTATAGTCATAGAAAACATGTACTTATTCGCATTTAATCTCTTATCAAGATATTTACTCATATTTTACTTTAATTGTGTTTTATGAATCTGTATTTAGACTAGTCATTAAAAACCTGGTTTCATTATTACATCGCTGTCTTTCTTGTCTTTGTGTTGTTTTTATTAAAGTAATTGTCCAACCCAATCCAGTGGCTTATTGCCCATTTGGGAAAATGTCGGACTACGCTTCGAAACTCCAAAGTATTGTTGAACTTAGTCATGAGTACTTAGATTGATCTTTTCAAGACATTAAGAAATTTCAGTCGATAGTACTTGGTCAAAGAAATAACTTACACAGAATGAGCATGTACGTAGGTGAAGCTAAAATAGAACAATCAAAGGAAACTGTTGGGAGTAAATATTGATTGTGATCTAAATTTTAGCAATCACATTGGGGAAATGTGAGTTAGAAAGGTTAGACAGCAAATTGGAGTATTAGCGAGTACTGAGGAAACTTATACCAACCAATGCCAACAACTACTGAAAGCAGCTATTTTACTTCCGTCTTACGTATTGCAGTACTTTCTGACATTTTTGTACAGCATCGGACAGACGTAAACTGGAGCGAATACAGGAGAGAGCTTTCGAATAGTATTTAATAGTGGATCGGACTCATACGAGAGTCTGCTTTAGCTAGCTACCCAGTCGACTCTTTATAACAGAAGGTTACAAGATATAGTGATTCTGATCTTTAAGGCTAAGCATCACCAAGTACCAATAAAAGCATTTACTACACATCTTCAATGTACACGCGAAAACAGAAAAGAGACATAACTTACGGAATTCGGAGTACTGTACCACGTTTTAATACCATCGAGTACACGGAGCATTCTTTCAGATACTTAGGTCCTGTCTTGTGGTCTAAACGGACAAAGGATGAGCGTAAAAAAAAAAAAATGTAAAAAATGTAATGTACTTTGTTTACCCAGGGAGCACCAAGGAGTTCACAAGAACTCGTTCAGAAATGTCCGTGCATTCAAGGATCGAATTGGAATTTGAGAAATGTTGGTTTTTGAGGAGAGGAGAAAACCGGAGTACCTGGAGAAAAACCTCTCGGAGCAGAGAAGAGAACCAACAACAAACTCAACCCACATATGACGCCGGGTCCGTAATATGAACAGTCTGTACTATTTTAAACTACAAATAAAGAAAAGAAGGTTCACGACGTTGATGGCAGATGCAGGGTGCAAGAATTGCTACTTTTTTTCTTACTACTACTGCTGCTGCTGCTGCTGCTACTGCTACTACTACTGCTACTACTACTACTACTACT